GCCGGGGAGGGGGTGCCTGTGTGGGCTTCCCTGCTCCACAGGAGTAGGGGGGGAGTCAGGCCTGGAGGGGGCACGCGATGGGGGCTTCTCTGCTCTGCGGGAGGTACACGCCAGCCCCAGAGGAGGCGTACAACGGAGTAGGAGGGGGAAGGGAGAGTCCTAGGAGGAGGCATCTGCAGAGGACTCTCTGCCCCCACTGGCACCCTGCCCTCCCAGCATCCTGTTCCCTCTCCCTTGCCCCTGCGGCAGAACCCTGCCCCCACTGGCACGCTGTCCACTGCCCCACCACCCACTATTACCCTTCCCCAGTACCATGTCCCCTGCTCCCACCAGCACAGTTGGGGCCACATTAGTGAGGCTTGGGGGGTTTTTACAGGTGGTTTTTTTTCCCAACATCTCACTTGTGTGGCCCCAACTGACTTTTCTGTGGGTCAGTGACCCCTGACTCAAAACAGGTTCCCTGCTCTTCTCATGAATAAAGACAATGCAGAAACTTTGTGTGTTTGACATAGTATTTTATTTAAAAATGAAGCCTGGCCAACACACCCTCAATTGGGGCCAAGCCCCCATCTGGCCACAGCATCATAACATTCCTGACCCTAGATCTGAGCCTATCATACACTGGAACCCCCTGCCCTGAGCCATTCACATACTCCAACCCCAATTTCTGCACCCTCACATCCACAAGCCTGTGACTTGCTCAGTACCCCAACCCTCCATCTGACCTCAACACTGCCCGGCCTGGAACCCCCTCCCCGAGCCAGTGTTTTCATCTCTATCTCCTCCTGCATCCAGATTTCCTCCCAGAACTTGCACCTCTCACCCCTTCCCACACCCAAATCCCTCCTTCCCACCCCAGAGCCTACACATCCTGTCTCAACCCAGTGAGGGTAAGGCTAGATTGCAGGAGTTTTTCAGGATTCCAGAGATATCCCAGAAAAACTCTTCTGCATCCAGGGATGCGTTTGTTCTTTTGCTTCTTTTAGTGGAAGAGCTAACGTGATCTTTAGGTCATTCCTCTTTCCACGAGGAATAAGGGGGCTTCCAAAAGAAGGGTTTTTTCTGACATTTAGTCCGGTCTAGACAGGCTAAATGTTGGAAAAACCTCTTCCTACAGAAGAATTGGGGGAAAAAAGCAGCAGTATAAGGGTTGGGGATAGCAAGTGATGGAAAGGAGGAGAATAGAGAGGGTGGGGCGGGGCTTCAAGGAAGGGGTGGGGTCTTGGGGGAAGGATGGGGTGGTAGATCTTGGCTTGTTCTGTCATTTAAAAAGTGATCTTGGGTGTAAAAGAGTTGGAGACCACTGATCTAGATGGTGCTTGGCCCTGCCGTGAATGTAGGGACCTGGACTTCATGGCTGCTCAAAGGCCCTTCTAATTCCAGTGTTCTATAATCCTATGATCTTTTTTCTATTGCTAGCTTCTCTGAGCCTGATTCTGCATTTCCTTGCACCTTGAGTTGTGGTTTACACCAGTGCAAAGGTGCTGTAAAATGCTACCAAAGTAGACTGGTAGCATTTTACTTTAATTTGGATTATTGTGTACATGCTATGCAAGTTTTAGGGCAAAAGAGAAAGAGGCCCTATGATTCTGTAAACAAAGGATCAATGACAGAAATGTGCCTCTTCAATCCCTCCAGAGTACCTTTCAACATTCAGCCTCTGGTCTGCATTAGTCCTCGGGACAGACATTAATATGGCCCTGTGAGCAGACTGTGCATATTGCTATCTCAAAGACATAGAAGGCTGCTGTTAGTATTTCTTGTGTAAAGAATGTCCATAAGTAAATCAGAAGGAACAAGGTCCAAACCAGGCAATAACAAAAGCTGAAATAGCAACTTTCAAAGGGCCACGTATAAATTTGCATACAGATGTGCATGATGTTTATATCAAAACACAAATACATACAACTCTAATGTTTACCACAAGACAGAAAATATAATCCCAGTTAGGCAGCAACAATGCACCTACTTCTACTATTATTTTATTGGTTATTTGCATTATGGCAGCACCTGCGGCCAAATCCTCACTAAGTGAGGCATTGAACACACTGTCATGTCCTAAAGATTCACAGTTGATGCATGAGGCTGGTTGTTGATCTTTAAAATTGTCACCTAGATATTATGATGATAAATCCATTAGATTGGATAAATCAGAATTGTTTGCTGGTAGAGTTGGTCATTTAGCTACTCAATATAACACTGCTAGAAATCCCTAAACAAACAAGTCAAATGTGTTCATTATCTGAGCGATCCAGCAATAGCAAGCTGCAGTTGGTCACACTAGTCCTTATTACCGTGCTCTTACAAGGAGAGGGAAGTCTTGGACTGAATTTGAAGCCTTTTTCGGCCATATTTGACCCTTGAACTATACTTTACCCTAAAATTGGTGCTGTCCTAGAAGTCATTTGGCTGGTCACATGTTCTTATTCAAGTAACTCTAAACTGTAAATATATCAATTAAATGGCAAGTTGATTAACAGCATTAATGTAATGAACTAGCTAATGCATTTACTACTGTCTTTTATTGGGTGGAATCAGAACTGCTTAGTATGTGTCTGAGACAGTATATGGCTGACAGCTAGTAGAGATTTCCTTTAAATTCAGCTGTGCAGTAGAGCAGGAAGCTCTTTCTCTCAGAGGTGACAGTGAAGTGTGGAATGACCAGGGCAAGCTGAATAGTGATAATCATTAAATCCAAGGAGGCTGCAGATTTATTACAATATATTTGCATAGTGAGCTATTTTCCCTCCATCCTCATCCCAGCAAGTAAAAATGGAATAAAAATAACAGTAGATGGCATTCTTAATAGGAAAAGTACCATCTTGTAGTCAAGGCACTGGACTGGGACTCAGGAGATGTTCGTTTAATTCCCAGTTTTGCCACAGATTTCCTTTGAGATCTCAGGCAAATCACTTAATCTTGGTGTCTCAATTCTCCAGCTGCAAAATGGTGTTGTTAATCTTTCCTTTCCTCCACATTTTCTTCTGCCGTGTCTGTATAGTCTATAATCTCCCCTGGGTGTGGATGGTCTCTTATTAAGTATATATACAGAGCCTGGCACACTGGGGCTCAAGCCTCCACTGGGACCTGTATGCACTACAAAAGTACAATTAAAAAACTAACATACATTCATAGGTGTACACTCTCTCTCTCTCTCTCTCTCTGGAATTGGCAGGATAGCAGCTGTTGCTTCACACCACAATTACTCTCTCCACTCATTCCCCTGGCTCTTTTACTTCAGCGCACTGCGAAGAGTTAAAAAGGAGGGAGGGGAACCCTGGGAAGATAATGGATTTGCTCATGAAATCTGTCCCCTCCACCTCACCCCCCCCCCCCCGAACTGCCAGATGCGATGACCCACCCCAGCTCTACTGGAGCACGGCTCATCATTTATTCATACTCCCTTCTTACTGATTCCCCTCCGCCCACCGGTCATGAAAGGAGACGCTGTTTGGGTTGGTGGGTGCCCTCTTCCTCAGCCAACCCTGGCTCTCGCCAAATCCCAGCCTCTACCAAGGGACGCTGGGGGGAGGGGGGGGGAGGGGAATGAGATAAATTGCAAGATTTCGGGGGCTGCAGAGAAGAGGTCAGGGGTGTCACTCTGTGTCTCCTGAGCTGCCCCCCTCCTCCTGTGTTTAGGTGAAGTGTCTGCGCAGGGTTTGCTGGGAGCCATGGAGGGGCAGCTGCTGCTGTTGCCACCAGTAACCTGAGGCAGCCCGGAACAGATTGGTACAGCTCCCGAGGCGGCGGCAAGGGGACAAAAGCCCTCGCTGCCGCCGGCAGAGCCAAAGCAAGGTGCAGTAAGTGAATGATCCTCCCCCGCCCCCATTCACTCCATCCCGAAGGGCTCGGGAAGGACGGTCAAGCCGTAGCATCTTGTCTGCAGATGCGCGTTGGTTTGGGGGTTTTAGGGCGGGGGGAGCCAGGGGCGTTAGCCTGGAATCTCAGGCTGCCGAGCCCGGGGAGGGATGCTGCGGGGAAAGACGCAGGGGCTCTGCACCTTGCTGCCTCTGCAGGGTCGGGGTCTCCGCGCGGCAGCCGGCTCCAGAAAGAAGAGCCCCCCAATGCTGCACTGAGCACGCGAAAGCCGGGTTGCTGCGAACGCTGCCTGTGCCCGCCGCCCCCTCCGTTAGGGTGAGGCTTGGAC